CGAAATGGCCAAACTTTTGAAACCTGTAAAAAGTAAGCAATATAAACTTTAATAATGGAATCAATGTATTTTCTTGTTCATATTACAGAAAATGGTAGAGCAACTTTTGTATATCCACTATCCATACCAAGTACAGTTAAACAATTTTGTTCAATTACTATTGGAAATTCGGTTCCACCATGTTCACCTAAAATAGAGAAGAACAAAAATAGCACGATTTTTATTTACTATTCCAATTTACATGACATTGAGCATTGATCGAATTTTGTCCATAAAAGCTAAACACAAATAAAAAGAAGTCTGCATATTGGGCTTATTTTTCTGTGCGAATTTTTACTTTTTTTGGCATAGTATCGGTAGTAAATTCCATATAGGATGGACATTGAATATCCTGAAGTGGATATGTCCAAATAATATGTGAACCTCGAGCATAGATTTCTTCATCACCGTGTCTATTACTTGTTGCACTGATTGACCATAATTCCTTCAGAAAAATAAATCATAAAGTTTCTTTTTAGAGTTATTAAAATTATTTTCACATTACTTGTTCATTATTTATTGTTGTATCTTCATCTATATAATTTGCTCCATTTGGTTTAAAAGGAGCAACTTTACTAACACTAATAGTAGCTAAATAAAAGTTCAAAATAGATATTTAAATTTATAAATTAGTACTAAAATAAAAATTCTACCTGCTGGTTGCATAGTTTGATTAGTTCGAGATAATTTTATGTGAAATACATTTGTTAATCGATAGAAAAAGAACGAGAAATAGTTCGTTGTTTCGCATCATTTTGAGATTGGTTATGACATTAACCAATGATAGAGATAGTTTTTCAGCTTTCAAATTGAAAACATTTGAGTTATTATTCAACTAATAAATTAGATGATTCAAAATCGATTATAGACGTACAAAATGAATTTTAAGAATCATTGAATATCGATTTCAAACGGGCCTTTGCTAGGTGGTGTAACTAATATTCGAATAATATTTCCTACACCTGGAATAGGACTGTTCGATTTAGCTAGAAAGATTTGAGCAATGAACCTTAGATTAGTGGCGTCATCATAGAAAGATAAAGTTTGGTTCTTATCTTCCAATCTGAAGTCTGCTTCCAAAGTGGTGAGCTTTGATTTTACTCTGGAGACGTTGTAGTTATAGTCCTTTACTGGTTTTCCGTTCACCGATGACAAGAAGATGTGCAAATCCTGTCTGATTTAGCAATGCATTATCCTTTTCTTCAGGGTTCTGTTGGAATACCCATTCAATGGCAGATCAGTAGAGTATACCATCGTCTGCTTAACAAAGAGAGATCATCGCAGATTATTGTCAATTACGTCTCCAGTTAAAAAAGATTTCTACCGTAGGTTTCTTCACACACTTTGGAAATCTGCATAGAAAAAAACCTATAAGAAAACAGAGAAAGAATTCGGAAAGATCGTATTTTTCTCTTTGTTTCGTTACCTGCACATCCTGTTGGGCTAGCTACAGTCTATGATAAATCTTATGATAGCAATCAATTCAAAATTCGTAGGAGCTCAGCTATTAAATATTTGATCTTCTGAACTCAAGCATGACATACTTCCTATTCAGTTCTAGTAAATAGTTCAGATAGAATATAAATAGAATTTTAGAACTATCAGCTCCAATTAATGTCAAAGCATTAACTTTCAAATGAGTCGATATTACAACATTTACTGATCACTTTTATAACAACATGTGATCGAACAATTTCGAATATGAAATCTAATAATGACTATAAGAGATTTTTATTTTATTTTAGAATTAGACATGATCCGACTTAAAGATCTAGATCATTGATTTATTACATTTCAATACATCTTAACAAAAATCATGCGTAAACATTATATTAAAATGTAAAGAAAAAAAACAAAATAACCTAATCGTTTGTATAGCATGAGTACAAAATAAAATAAAGTTTGTTCCATTTTTTTAATCATGTTTCAAGTCATTAGACTTTTGATCGTGAGGAGGTGATGTCATTGTTCGATCATTGTCAGACTTTGGAACACTATCGATTCGATCAAAAAAGTTAATAAGACATCTAGTAAGAAATTTTACAATCAATGCAATAATTGGTTTAACCAGACATGAAGCATCCCTAATTTTTTATCAATAAGACGAACTGTATAGGAACCTACACCTCTGTTGATAAGTGCATCAATAGCTGTACTACATGATGGAAGTAATTGTGGATTTTCTAGAAAAAGTAAAGAATTGTTTATAAATAATAGAAAATTTGTTTTTCTCTACGTTTTTTCATAAAACTTGATATCACTTTGGCTCATTGAATATAATTGGTAGACTTGAATTTGGTCGAAAGTAAAAATATCGAAACTTAAAAATGTCGAAAATACGAACATTGAAATAAAACTTTGTTGTAAAAAGAAGGAACATTTAAATGAAGACTGTTTGGAAAAGTGTGTGATGAATATGTCATTATTTCACGACGAATATTGACTTATCTTATTGTAAATTTGTGATCCGTCCATCACACAATTATTCATTCAGTACTAAGAAATGGATAAAGAAGAATACGAATAAGAATCTTCAATCATTCATTATTCGAGAAACAAAATAAAAGTGATAGCTCCTTCTGATTCAATATCTATCATCAACGATGATTGATATTTCATTAATTCGCATAAAGAAGGTATAAACTTGAATGCCTATCTGGCGCACCGAAGTCGAAAGACACAAGAACAACAGTATTACAAAGTCAAATAAAGACGCTGTATGATATATATATATACCAATTATATCATTACAGCATGTGAACTCCTTAAAAGTTTGTCTTTAATTGTGGTAAACAAGAAGTTTTAATCAAGCAGATAGAACATTGCTTAAAGATGGATTAACAATCATTCCCAAAAACGTTCTAGACCATCTTTTAGTCTTCTTTTAATAATCAACGTTGTGCCTTAATGAAGCCTGCTGGCTGATTCATTTTCACAAAGAAAAAAAATGCATGCAACTATCACCTCAGTTTCGACATTCTTCCTTTCGACCAAATTCAAGATAATCCTAAAACTGCAAATTTTATACTAGATAAATGATCTAGTGAAGCAACTAATAGTTCATGGCAATAAGCTGAAACATCAAATTTATCATCAACCATTCTTGCATAAGGCGGATAATTTTGAAGTAAACAAAAAAAAATTTATTAAATAACTTTAGTTTTCAATAGTTTCATTGTTTATTTTACCTTTCGTCATGCCTGAATGATTGTTAATGATCGAAAATAATGACTCGGCTGTCTCAATAGAGCTATTTTTCATTATGGGCTGCATGCAAAATATGATTTGCTGTACAATAAGGAACTAAAACTAAAGCATAGTAGCGTCCTCTAGTCATTATAGCTATCTCGGAAGAATAGTCATACGATTATTTTACGCAGCATAGTTTTCTTTTGCACGACTAATGAATCAAAACAATGATTACATCAATCAATCTTCCATACTATTCCTCGTATGAACCTTTCTCTTTATGCATTGATATAATATAAAATTGGCAAGCATCTATTTATCTTCGTTTTTTTAATATCGTTAGGTTTTGACAAGATAATATCATTGGATGACCCAAAATATCAATGAATAATAAATATTTAACATCAAATACGAATCAAGAAAATCTAACTAAACAGAATTTGATTATTTATTTTCACCAGTGTTTATTATATTGCTTATGTAAAAGTAAAATACTTTTTAATTAAACTTTAAGCAGTAGTTGCTACTCGTCAACGGAGAACTAGTTGAACTTTTCCCATGCTTATGATAAAAGCGTTACCAAGGATTATGCATGCTGTATCCAAGAGAAAAAAAAATGACAGTATAAGTAAAAGCATTTTGTAACGAAAATAACTTCTAGGTTAATATCTCTTGCGAGAAAATACACAGAACAACGTCAGTAATGATTATAAATGTTTTTTGAGTTCATTTCAATTCATCTACTTGATCATCTTAATTAAAAGAAAAAGAGCTGAGAGCAATGTCGCAATCAATCAGGATAGTATAGTTAATTAACTACACGCCATAGGTGAGCATATCTGTTAAATCTAATTAATCCATTCCACCAATGGGCTCTAACATGAAAGCATCATACATACAATTATATCTCTCTAGATTTTATCACAATTAATATATTTGAAAGCATGTAATCATTGAAGAAAACTAAACATAGAAATAGAATATTATTTTACCGATTCAAATTTGTATATTATTCTTTATATTTACAATCATCATTGGATCTTAAATTATCATTCTAAAAATAGAAGTTTATAAATGGCGACATTTCATTTTATCGGCCATGTGCTGTTGATAACAATCAATTGCACATCCGATTGCATTACTTACGGGCCGAATTTCAAATTTCTACATTCTTATACTCAAAGTTCAAACAATTTCCTGGACTTCAATTCCTGACTCTATAGTTTCTTTTTGTAGTTTTATTCATATTAAACACTTGATTTGAATAGATATAAAATCCTTGATATGCCAAATATTGATTGAAATAATGAATAAGACGCTTAATATGAAAACTAAATCAAAACGGAGAAAAAAAACTTGTTAAACATTACATATATGTCAAATTTTATTTCTAGATATTTAGTTAAAGAATAGAAGAAACGATCTATTTAAAAACGGAAGTCAACATTTTGTTTTATGACGATCATTCTAGTCTCTCGGCATCGTCTTACATGTAACTATAACAACAATATAATATTTTTTTGCTATTCTACGGCATGCTCATTTTCTTGTCAAAGCAAAAATTCTTTGTAATATCAGGCAACGATAAATGAATACTTCTACTCTTTCTTCTTCCTTTTCCTCGTCTTTTTTTTCACCGAAGGTGTCTCTTAGAGAAAATTAAAAATCTAAACGGAGCGAGTAAGACTGAGAGAAGGAAAAAGAAGACAAGACGGAACATTGCAAAGATCTTCATTGGTGTTCTATTAACATTAACCTTGTCAGAATAAATCATGACGGCAATAACCCCAAAAGAACTAAATCAACTTACTGAAGACACCGGACTAAGCAAATTATCAATACAAGATTGGCATAAACGTTTCATTCAAGAATGTCCGACTGGTAGCATATCAAAAGAACGATATATTAATTTATATCGTTCATATTATCCTCGTGCACGTAACTCGGATGCATACGCTCAAATGTTATTTACTGCATTTGATGATGATCGTGATCAAGCATTAAATTTTCGTGAATTTCTACGTGTTGTTGCCGTTAGTCAAGGTACAGATGAAAAAGCCAAACTTGAACTTGCTTATAAAGCATATAATCGTAATCAATCGGATGCTAATTTACCACGTAAAGAAATACAAAATGCGATTACGGCTATATTAAATTTGGTTGCAACACAAGATGATACAGATGAAAACAATGATACCGATAAAAGGCAAACAACAATTGAATGGGCTATGAAACGTTTAGGTCTCGATGAGAAAACGGAAATAACTAAAAAAGAATTTATTCGACGTTGTAAAACTGATCAAAATCTGTATGAATTTTTGGCATTTCATTGTGTACCAAAACCGAATGGTCCCGATGGCGATCTGCGTGGAAAAGAAAAATATAAAATATCTATTAAAACTGGTACTGAAGGAAAAAAATTTCTGTTAAAAACGTCCGGTACAGATGCAAATGTTTATTTAATAATTCATGGAGAAACGGCAAGTTCAGATTCCGTACAATTACAAAATTCCCAAACGTATAAAGATCCATTTGAATCTGGACATACAGATGTGTTTGTGCAATTTTTACCACAGTTAGGTAAAATAAAAGGTGCAACACTGTGGCATACAGGCGATAAATCTCAAGGTTGGTTTGTTGAACATTTATCAATTACAAATGAAGCGTCAAATATAACAACAAATTTTCCTGTACAACGCTGGCTTGATGTTGATGGATACGATAAAATGACAAAAATTGAACTTGTTCCAAACGAACCGCCTGGTTATGCTCAATAAACAGTCGAACATTGTCTTTTAATAAATTTTAATTTATTCTAAATATTGAGAATTCTTGTCTATATACGTATATTTATCTATTAATATTTCAAATAAATATTCCCAAACAACAATATTGTGTTTTACTTACGTCAGCACTGAAATAGTATTTATTTTTTCAAAGTTCAATAATAGAAATAATTATAAAATGGTTATTACATATAAGCCTATATGTACATATATAATAATGTTTGTAGTCTATTGCATTCAGCGTAGGAGATATAGAATAAAGGTTTATAAATAATTATAAGCTTAATTTACAAAATACTTGATTCTTTTAAGAACATAGTTCATGACCTTGAGTTTTTGGTTGTTCAAAATAAATTTTTAGAAACGAAATCTATTTTCTCGATTTGACAATGAAAAAAAAAGGGTAGCAATATTTTTGATCCCCAAAAAAATGACTATTGATCACCAAAATGTGTTAGTTGCGAAATGATCACCAAAAAAATGTACAAATGATCCCCA